AGCATGCTCTGGCAGGGGTGAGGGTGGTGGTCTCGTGCAGGGTGCGCAGAGGTGCTGGTGCTGGACAGAGGCAGAAATATCACTGGCACAAGGAGCTGCAGGCGTTTGGGTTTATCAGTATGGTGGCGATACCATGCTCTGGGGTGACAAGCTACAGGCATTGTCACCACAGAGATCCTCAAAATCAGCTGGGCAAACATCTGTGTCAGGGTCACAGAGCCCTCCCCAGGCTCGGGGGCAGCCGTGAGGAGACTGATGTGGCAGTGGGGAACACTGGCAGTATCGCGCAGTCGGAGCGGACGTGTTACTGAGGACGGGGCGTCGCTGGGCACCTTGCAGGTGGCAAACGTGGAAGGCTGGATGGTATCAGTGCTTTGCAGCTTCTGGGTTCAGAGCTAGCTAGAGGGAAAGGAGGAGTGCAGTGTTGGCCTCCTGGCTGTAAATCACTGCACATGTGCACTTAGCCTCCCGCCCTTCTCCTCTTGCCATCTTTATCTACGTGTCCCCCTACATGGGAGGACCTGTTTCACATTATTGTTTCCACCCAGAGCTATCCTTTTGCATTTTTCCCTTTTGAATGCTCTATAGTTTGGCCTACATTCTAGATTGCTTTTCTGCTGCTGCCATTTAAAGCATTTCTTCCATCAATCATCACACTGTTTATTGTCAATATAATAATTTACAAGAAGAATTACTTTCCTGTCTGAGCTTGAGATTGATTCAGTTAAATTCTGTTTATTCACAACTGAACTCCTCGACTGTGCCATAGTCGTCACGCAGATTAATGGGATTAGGATCTTTCCCTGCAAAATGCATCCTTAAACCTCTGAGTGCAGCAGGCTTTGTTGAACCACAAAGGCTTTACTGCTACAGAGATGTGGTCAAAAACATTAATACAGCGGGCCTGCTTCTGAAGGACTCGTTTCAAGTAGGGTTTGCACAGACCTCTGGAATGCCATTCCAGAGGGTTAAGCAGAGATTAACCCAGCTAAAGGAAATGATTCCAATGCCCTCAGTTAATATGATATGATCATTATGTATTGCTAATCTTTCTTAAATGCTTTCACATTTTTTTAAACCAAGGGCTTGACCCAACTTGTACTGAAATCCGTGAAAGCATTTCCATTGGCTTCAGAAGGATTTCGATCAGTCTTGAAATCATCTCGCTGTTCGAAAACACCATTTGTCTTTCCTGCCCTGTGAAATTAATGTCTCTCTTCTTCATACATCTTGAAGAGCACAAATCTCTTGGATCCCCACACAGTATATCCTTTCATCTGAACTGTGAACCTTTTCTAGGTACTCTGACTGTAGGAACCCAGGCAGTTTTGCTCTTTTTTAACATTTGCGCCCTGCCAGGCTCACCAGCTCTCTAGAAGCTGGGTAAGATAACCGCTTTGAGAGAGCTGGAGATCTCTGACCAGCTTGGTGTGAAGTTAATCAAACACAGACAGCTTGAAAACACCGTATATACTCACAAAACCTGGTCTTTCCCCAGTCTTGCCCCCAAATCTTTTTTGCACTGATATTTATTATGCCGGCCACCTGCTTCTACGTTGCCTTTTTATTTTTCCTAGGAGACGGGTATCAGATATTCTTTTTGGCATCATGTGTCAATGACTTTTCCTCTCTGGGTAGCGAACCAGCATTTTCCCTCTATATTTTTAAAGCTTGGTTTCTTGTTAACCTCATCTCATGTTTCTTGCTGGTTGAATGTTTTCAGATCAGCTGAGCTTGAGGAGTTTCATCCCAGGATACGTGAAGAACAAGCTGGAGCAATCTCTGGAATGTTATTTTGGGCACCCAGTCCAAAGATAACGACTATTGCAGAAGAAAAGTGGGGCCCTGGCTAAACAGCTTGACATTTGCTGGTCTGCACAGTACCCCAGCTGCTTTTTAATGTGTGCTGAGCACGGTGCTGCAGCCACCTCAGTATCATGTCAGAGATTAACTCTGATCAGAGTTACTCTAGGCTCTTGAAGAAGCCAGATTAGCTGTTAATCCTGCCGGAGTTAGGGAGTTCAGGGTGAAGACAACAAGCACAGGTTTTCCTTTGGGGAACAGGCAGCTGAACTGTGGTTGGTAAGTCAAGTGTCTCCTTAGAAGGCCTATAAAGAACCTGCAGTCCAATTTTCAGGATAGCTGCATGTTAAAGGTAAATGGTGAGGGGACTGGAGCATCTCCCCTACGAGGAGAGGTTGAGGGAACTGGGCTTGTTCAGCCTGAAGAAGAGAAGGCTGCGAGGGGACCTTATAAATGCCTACAAATATCTGAAGGGTGGGTGTCAGGAGGATGGGGCCAAGCTCTTTTCAGTGGTGCCCAGTGACAGGACAAGGGGCAGTGGGCACAAACTGAGGCACAGGAAGTTCCGTCTGAACATGAGGAAGAACTTCTTCCCTCTGAGGGTGACGGAGCCCTGGCCCAGGCTGCCCAGGGAGGCTGTGGAGTCTCCTTCTCTGGAGATATTCAAGACCCGCCTGGACAAGGTCCTGTGCAGCCTGCTGTAGGTGACCCTGCTTCGGCAGGGGGGGGTTGGACTAGATGACCTACAGAGGTCCCTTCCAACCCCTACTATTCTGTGATTCTGTGAAAGGTAAGGTGCTTCTAGATTTGCTAACACTGCTGGCTCCTCTGATGCATCCCACGACATTCAAGGCCACCTAATCAGTCAGCGCACCGAGTCCCAGCATGTACGGCGCGCCTTTGAGGAACCCCAGGAGAGCACGTGCTCTAAAGTGACGCTGCACAGACCTGGCTTCACCCAAGAATTCATCCTGCATGCCGCTGAGGTTGGGCTCGGGGTCGCCTCCCTCCCCTCATCGCGATTTGGAGTGTAGCCGGGGAGACGCGGAGCCCAGCGGGCGGTGGTTGTGTGACTGAGCTAGCAAAGGGGGAGCGAGGGGGAGGATGGCAGGCTGGCACATCGCGTACGAAGCTAAAACGTTTGGCTACGCTCCCCTTTTGCCTCACGGTGCCTGCCTTTGCAGTCCTGTTTCCGCATCGTGCTCGAACATCAAGTGCCATTCAGGCAGTTTTACGGCGTGTGGAGCTGGGAATCTGACTTCTGCCAGGCGTTCTGTGAGCCACATTTTTGGCATGGAAGAAGCATGAGTGGGTCCGGAGACTCGAAGGTCTTTTTGGGCTATGAGTTGTTGCCACGAGTTGTTAACACGCGGGCTCGCAGAGGGGCTTTATGAACGCAGCTGCTCCAGCACCAAGAAAGCTCGTCTGCCTACCGAAACTGGAGCGTGAATCCAGGGCTGGGAGTGTGCCGTGGTGACAACTGATGGTTTTTGTGACTAATGTAGAAGGTTGTCCCTGAAAAACAGGACATGGTTGCCCAAACCTGTTTTGTTGGCAGTGGAGCTGTTTCTCTAGCTTGTAATGTTGTATTTCTGTGCATTGAAAAGGGCAGGGGCCTTGCAAAAAAACAAAGCAAAACAAAAACAACCCAGTAAGCGATCCCATCGTCATGCGTATCCCAAATGCACCTACTCGGTTGCACAAGAAGCCTCTGACATTGGCCAACTACAGAACGTGAGGCTACGAAACCTCAGTGAGTCTTTTAGCTCGCAGTGACTTCTCTGTGGGAAGTCAAAATTTCAGTGTGCAGGCAACAAGTTATTTAAGCATCTGGCAAAAAAATAAAAGAAAGATCTCCAATTCATGTGATGAACTTATTTCCTAACCACGGACCATCACCAAAGGCAGCAAGAAAGATAGGTTTTTCTTTTTTTTCTTTATGCTTCTTTGATTCCATAGTAACTTAGGAAAGCAAGGGAGGAAAAACTAATCAAAAAAGGTGATGTGCCCAGACATATCCTGCAGTGGGTTTTGAAGATTAATCTTCCCCTGATATAGAGAGGAATTTTGTCTGGGTGAGGAATGGAGGACTGAGCTTTCGTGAAGATGTGTCTTGTGAGCCTCAGAGCTGTGTTAGCTAGAAAGATCCGTTTGCTGGGTGAGTGTTGCGGTGCTTGCATTCAGGGTAGGCTGGCAACATGATATTGAAGTTACTTAGTGGAGTTACCTTTTCTTTTGTTCCAAAAGTCCTATTATTCACCTTGCCACCGTAAAGCTTTAAAGCGATCTGAAGTGTTTACAGAAAAATTGCCTAATACTATATGAAGGGAACTGAGATATTTTTCAGTGTTGTAAAGAAATGGCTTGGTTTTCATTCTGCTGCAGCTCAAAAACTGCAGCATAGAAGATGAAGGGAAAAAAGCTTTTCCTGTGTTTGGGCAAGAATTTGTGAAGAAATGGCTTTGTCTGAACAAAGTCCAGTTACTTGGTGTCACAAAAGGGAAGGGAAAATTTTGTTAAATGTCTCCGCTTTACTTCACGTAGAAATTTTTGTTTAAAAGCGCAGTCAGTCCAAACCATCAAAACCAGTCTGCCTGAAGACAGGACCCTGAGAGATTTAAGTCAATTCTGAACCACTCTGGATTTCATTCTTTCGGTTAAATTTTTCAGAAACAAATTGGCCCTTTGAGACTTGGCATTATATGCCCATCAAAATCAGTAAAAACCTAGCTGATGTCACATAAGTGGATGCACAAGTTATCTCCAATTTTCAGTGCCAACAGCTGGAAAGAGAAATGCCGTGTACTTTCTAGCTCGCTGCAAATACCCTGTTGTGATCATTCATGCATCAAAGATCAAAAGCATATTCAATAGCATTTGTGGTGGGGAAGACCTGCTTCCTTATTAATTATTTATATGACATTAGTGCACAGAGGTTCCATCAGAAAATCTGGCTGCTACTGTCACGGTTACTGTGGCTACGTAAAATAAAAGGCCTTAGCCTAACTGACTTTCAAATGATTTTATTTGTATCATGGCTATGTTGTGAAATCGTTGGAATCCTTCTTAAAATTATTTGCTTTTCACTAACGTACTGTAATGGAGTGGCACAGAGATAATGTTGGTCTTTGTTCTGTTCAGTTATTGCAGCCATTGGTGCTGACAGGACATCAGAGGACCCACCATCTCCTGTATCTATGGCATTTGCACCTCCTAGAAGCGTTGATGGCCCCAAGCTGCAGACCAAGATGAGCACGTGGACGCCACTGAACCATCAACTCATGAATGACAAGGCAAGTTCCATGCAAATGGCTGAAATTCATAGAACCGCAGAACTGTTGAGGTTGGAAGGGACTTCTGGAGGTCACCTAAGTCCAAGCCCTTGCGGCAAAGTCAGCTAGAGCATTTGCTCAGGGTCTTGTCCAGTTGGGTTTTGAATATTCTCAAATCCCAAGACAAATTCTCAGGTTTGCTTCACAAATTCTCAAGTTTTTGCCTGTGTAGGTCATGAATAATGGAATAAGAACATCAAGACTTTGTTTACTCTTAGAAGTGTGTATATATCAAACACACATACAGTCTTTATTATGTATACATACGTATAAAAACTAGTATGTTATGTAAAAATGGAAAGTTCTGACATATATTGTTTAAAGCATACATGTGTTTCGTTGAAGTATTGTTATTTTGCCAAATCAGTTGCTTTTAAACAAAAAATGTGTATTCATTTCTTAGTGAAAGTTACCAAATCGTTCTTTTTCCGCACCAGAAGACTTCTGTTTAACCCCAGAGCAAACTGAGTGTCAGCATTAAGTCTCCGAGTGGCTGGTGTGCTCCATCCCAGCTCGTAGGAACGACCTTAGTAGCCATGCCCTGGCTTCTCTGCTAAGCCTGGCAGTGACGAGGCTAGCTTGATATTTTGGAAACTGAAGTGACGCACTCAATTTATAAATAACGTGATGCATTTCCTAACCTCCCACTCTGTATACTATATCTGTTCTGCTAACAGAACTGAGGGGCTTTTGGCTCATGTATCACCAGGAGCATATTCCTCCCTCAGAATTCAGTTAAAATTTCTCTTGATGATTCATAGAATTTAATCCAGAGAGGGCCATCACATCATGTAGTTTGGATTTCTTGGGCCCTCTTGTTTCGCACAGTTCTCCCAACCTTGAGCTCAGTAACTAGAAATTGGCTAAAATATATCTTCCATAAAGGTATCCAGACTTGCTTTGGGGTTATCAAGAAATGAAAATTTCATCACTTCCCTAATAATTTTCTCATGATTAATCCCCTATATCATGAAAAGATGAAACCTTGTCTCCTGTCTGAATACGTCTAGCCCTAGCTTCCATCATTTAAATCTTCCCCTGATAGCTTATTAAACTCTTCTGTAGCCAGTATTTTTTCCTTGTGGAAGGACTTTTACCCTGCTTCAAGCCAACACTTGAACTTTTTTTGATAAACTAAACAGATTGAGCTCTTTGAAATCCTTTCAGTCTGGCATATTCCCCAGCCTTTGAATCATTTTAATGTCTGTTTCCTACACTCTTTAAAACATATTTTTACAGATGTACATCACTGTGAAAAAAGGTATGATCTAATTAGAAATAAGTATGTGGGGAAAACCACCCTTTCCCACCTTCTTACTCCTCTGCTTCTTAGGCCGTCTGATGTTGCACTGGGCTGCGGCAAAACTTTTAGGAGCTGATATTGGATAGTTGTATACTCCAACACTTAATGATGGTCCAGGTAGGAAAGAACATACCATAAGCTCCCAGACCTATGCTCAGTGATGAAATTCAGGATAAAAATTATTTGCTTGTTTCTGATTCAGGTTTTAAAGCATTGACCCACCTGAAACTCCTCTTTGGGTATCACTATACTGCTCTGCAGTGTTAGCAGAAAAACAAGTAGTTGCAATAAAAATATTGCCAACAGCTGAAACCAGGAGCTAATCCAATTCATATCGATAGGGAGCTAGTGCGTGAGAAAGCGCCGTCTTTGTACACTCATACCTCTGTTCATTTCTGCACTTGTGAGTTAAGAGAAAGCATGAAGAGAGAAAAGATTTTATAGATAAAAGGTATGTGAAAAACAATGAGAAGATGAAAGCATAGAGAGAAGAGACGTGTAAGAAATGTACTTGTTAGTAGAATAGGCAATGAGAGGCAGGAGTGGTGCGACTTCAGAGCTGATCCAAGGCAGAAGCATTTAAGCTCCTTCTAAACCATTGTTAGGAGCAGACCCAAGAACAGTTGTTTGTAGCATAAATTTGCTACCTGTCTAATTTTGGGCAATCCTGGGGGTACTCCATTAGTAGTTCCTGTAGATGTCCCTGGCTTTTCAAACATGCTCAAGAGTACGCTTGTCTGCATTGGTGCTAGGACCCAGCTCTCTCCTACCTGTTGTGCATCCTGAGTCCTGCTGCCTCTGTCTGTGGTTTTCTGCCCTTACCGCAGCTGTTAGAGCAGAGAAGACTACCCAGGGTGTTACTAGTGGGACATGGGCAGTCATGATTGTTTTAAAGCCAGGATCACTATCAGGGGCAGACCAAAGTCAGGAAGCCAGAAGACTGGAAGTTGAGAGATGATTTGCCTTCTGCTGGGCAGTAATTCGGGAGTGGAGTGGAAGAACCCCCAATGGCATTTGCAGCAAAGGGTGGAGGGATTTTCCAGACAGCCTTGAACTTGAGCTTATTTAACACCACCTGAAGACATGGATGTGAGATGGCAGATCTCAGGAGCAACCTGGGCCTCAGGCTACGTCCAAGGCCAGCCAGCTTAGGCGCACTATAGGTATAACTCCAAGTCCTTGGAGGAGAGGACAGTAAATATGGGCTTGATTAAGGCAGTGGATGATTATACCAATTTGGGGCCATTCTGTTGCTAATTAATGCTTCCAAGTGCCTGGAGTAGGCAGAACCTTCTGACAGAGTTGGCTCAGAAGTATCTCCAAGAATGCTGAGAGCAAATATGTGTCTGTCTTTGATCAAAGACCATTAACATTGCTCTCAGTTATATAAATAGCTCCCTGCTTCACTTGAGTTATCCAACCCAAAACTTAGATCTTTCACTATTCATCACTTGCTTGTGGCAAATCCTTTTCCAAGTTCAGCTTGTTAGTTGTTTTTATTTTTGAGTTTGCCAAATCCTTTTCCAAGTTCAGGTTGTTAGTTTGGTTTTTTTTGAGTTTGCCAAGTATCCCACACGCAAATAAAGCAACATACAAATAAAAGAAATGTCATTTTCCACCCCTTGCAAGAGACACTCCTGCTGAGAGAGACAGAGCTAACACTGTCAGCTGCTGTACCAGACATCAGCACTGATAATGTCTTTCTCTGCAGGAACCTTCTTTGCAGGCTGCCATAGAAATAACATGTTCGGAGTTTATAATGATCAAGTATGTTTTCCTAGTTGTGGTTAATAGCTGCTTTTATGTGCAGTTATAAGCTGGGCTTTCTCCTCTTTGATCTGTCTTCTGCAAAAATCATCTCCAGCATTTCCTCACATCCTGGGTCACAATCCTGAGTATAGAAGGCAGTTTTGTGGTAGTGGGAAGCCACGTGCTAGTGCTTTCAGTTCTAGCTCCCTGTGGATAAAGGTCAACATCATAAATCCTCCACTGTATTTTGATACTGGTCACCCTTCTTGTTAGTTGTCACTGTAAAGTGAACAGGGAACAAAGACTGGTCTTATTATCTTACTCCTAACGGTCTTGCTGCGCTAAGATTGAAGCCATCACCAGGGCTGTGTGATAGCTACCCATGTTGTATTCCTTTCTAGGAGATTTCAAGCACCCAAGGTCTCCAAATCGGGAAAACTGAAATTTCTAAAATAAAGAGGTGGGAAGCCCAACTTCTCATCTCACCAAAGCATGTAAGAGACCACATGTCACTGTATGCCCAAGAGAGTAGATCACTATGTTGGCACATCATCTGTGCAGTAGCTGCAAAGAAGGGAGGTGGAGATGAGAGGTCGCATGTTGCAGCTGGTCTGCAGAGCTGTCCTTCACAGCCATGCACACTTAGCCCTTGAACTTTAGTGAGTCTTCTTCAGTGAAAGGAATCTTCCACAGGAAACAGCCTGTAGAGTTGAAGAAGATCAGGAAGAAGTAGAAGAGGCCTTCCTCGGACAACTGGAAGAAGCCTCATGTTCACAGGCCTTGGTCCTTATGGGCAACTTTAACCACCCTGATATCTTCTGGAAGGGCAATGCCATTGCACATGCAATCCAGGAGGTTTCAGGGGTGCATTAGTAATAACTTCCTGACACAGGTCATTGAGGAACCAACAAGGGAAGGTGCTCTGCTGGACCTCATACTTACAAAGAAGGAAGGACTGGTTGGGGATATGAAGCTCAGGGACAGCATTGGCTGCAGTGACCAGGAGATGATGGAATTCAGGACACCAAGAGGAAAGAGCAAGACAAATAGCAGGATCACAACCCTGGATTTCAGGAGAGCAGACTTTGACCTCTTCAGGGATCTGTGTGGAAGAATCACATGGGATATGGTCCTGGAGAGAAGAGAGGTCCAGGAAAACTGATTGATTTTCAGACTTTAGTAAGGCTTTCGATACCGTCTGTCATAACATCCTCATAGACAAGCCGATGAAGTACAAATGGAGATGAGGTGGATTCAAAACTGGCTGACTTACTGGCCTAAAAGGACTGTGATCAGCAACACGAAGTTTGGCTGGAGGCCAGTCACTAGTGGGGTATGCCAGGACTTGACACTGGGTCCAGGACCATTTAAAATCTTCATTAACAACTTGGATGATGGGGCTGAGTGCTCCCTTAGCAAGTTCGTAGATGATACAGAATTGGGAGGAGCAGTTGATAGACCAGATGTTTGTGTTCTCATAAATCATAGAATCATAGCACAGCCGAGGTTGGGAGAGACCTGAAAAGATCATCTGGTCCAGCCTTTCATGGGAAGGGGAACCTAGATGAGATTATCTAGCTTCCTGTCCAGTTGTGTCTTGAAAACCTCCAGAAATGGGGACCACCACGTCCCTAAGCAGGTTGTTCCAGGGATTAAAAGGGACCTTGTCAGGCTGCAGAAATGGCCTTACTATCTGGAAAGCAGCTTGGGAGAAAATGACCTGGGGGTCCTGGTGAATACCAAGTTGACCATGAGCCAGCAAAGAAGGCCACCATCATCCTGGGCTACATTAGGAAGAGTGTAGGTGGCAGGTCAAGGGAGGTGATCCTTCCTCTCTACTCAGCACTGATGAGGACAGGTCTGGAATGCTGTGCCTGTTTCTGAGCTCCCCAGTACAAGAAAGACATAGACTTACTGGAACAAAGCCAGTGTAGGGCTGCAAAAGTGATTAATAAATCAGAGAATCTGCTGTGTAGGGC